GTTGGATTGCTTGTCTTCGTAATTGTTGTATGTATAGTTGCTGTTGTTGATATTGATGGTGTTGTAGTTGTTGTTGAATATTTTGAATTTGTGGTTGGGGTTGTCGATGAGTTTGCTGATGTCGTTGTTGACTATGAGGGAAAGCCATTGTAGAAAATTATAAGTTTTTTGTTTTTTGAATATAATAAGTGTAAGAGTTTAGATGCGAATTAATAATAAAGTTTTTAAAAGTAAATTTCACTCGTATTTGAATTTTTTTTTTTCACTTGTCATTTTTCTTGCCTTTAAATAAGATCTTTTTTTTTGGTGTCTAAAAATATTTTTGGGTATAGTTTTTTTAATAATAACAATAATAACATTGTGTGCTTACCATATTTGATATTACTGGTCTATAAAAAATATTTTTTGGTGGATTTTTTTTTTAATAATAAGAATAATTGTGTTTACCATATCTGATATTACCGGTCTAAAAAAATTTTTTTTTAGGGATCTTTTTTTAATAATAAGAATAATTGTGCTTACCCATATTTGACATTACCGGTCTAAAATATTTGGGGGGTTTTTTAATAATAAGAATATGCAGAATATTGTGATAAAGAAAATATAAATGAAGTCTAAATTTTTTTTTTTCAGGTGAAAGATCTTTATTATATTTTTCTAATAATAATCATATTATATAAAATATGATCAGATGTATAATATATTTCATCAGATATATAGTTAATAGAATAATAAAATTATAAATTAAAATTTTTAAATAAACATGTATCGCTGATAATATTTAATAACAATTAGAAATTATATATAATATATATATTTTTCTGAAACGATTAAAAAAAGGAAGTTTGATATTGATTGGGTGTTGATCAATTGTATATACTTTATTTTATTGTTTAATTAAAATCATTATATTAAAGTGATATGATTATTGATAAATCATTAAAAATTTTCGAATTATTATATAATATATCCAATTGATTCCTATATAATAATTTTTTGTAATTATTTATTATGCTATATAAAAGATTCATAATATATAACTTTCACACATAATTTAACAATAAAAAGCTTAAAATATGTAATCCCATTAAAACATCCAAATTGGTATATTAATTATCCGGGTAACTCCTTCATTAGTACCCATGACAAATTTCATGATAATTGTTAACTGATCTTTTTTTTGATAATATTTCCTTTATTATATTGTCAATGGCGTCATATTATACTATTTAGAAGCTTCTTTCACGTTGATATTATGCTTTTTTTCTTAATTATTAAAAATCACTAACAACTATCAAATCTGATGTAATGATTAATAGTTATTAATATTATTACATCAGATTTGATATATAATTATTAATTATTGTTCAGATTTGAAATATTTGATACATTAGACAATTTATATTATGCATCTTTTCAAAAAAAAAAAATCAGTTAACAATAATTATCAACTATCATTAACCGATTTATTTTTTGATAAGATGCATAATATAAATAAACAAATTTTTTTTAACATGATGTGTTTTCTTTTTTTAGATGCATCCCTTGATCTGATGTAATTAATGATTTATAAATTATATTAGTTTTAAATTATTATATGATAACAAATTAAAAATATAAAGATATTATTTAATATTGATAATTACATCAGTTCCGAAGAAAAAAAATATGCCACTGAAAATAAATTGTAGGACCGGAACTAGAAATATTTTTAAGAGTAATGAAAAAAAGTATATAAGTCATTTATTTTTATTTGATCGCATTTTTTTTTTGAAATTTTGGAATATATTGTAGTCATTACTGTTTTATCTCTTATCTTCTTCAAAATAAAAGATTTTCGGAAATTAATAATAACAAAAATGACTAAAAGATCGTTTTCTCAAATAAATACTGATAATAAAACTTTGACTCCTTTGAGGAGATCAAAAAGAGGTGAATCATTATTATTAATGAAAAAGAAAGCATATATATTATTCGTTCATCCATCTATACAAAATATCAATATCTCTTTCTTCTTTTTTTCTTACAAAGATGCAGCCCCTCCAAAACGATATTCGTCCCCATCACCACCACCAACTAAGAAAAGAGGTCGTCCGTTAAAGAGAGGGGCCTGGGCGGCCTCGAAAGAATGTGGATAACAAGGTAAACCAATTAATTTATTTACTATTTTAAATTAAAATAAAAGGTTATTAAATAAATATCTATGAATATTCAAAAAGTTGAGAGACGAAAGTCAGGAAGACCGTCAAAAAGAACCAGGGTCGAAGAAGGAGGAGATGTAGTCGTATATAATAGTAATCATAATAGTAGTGATAATAATCATAATAATAAAAATCATAACAATTATAATAATAATAATAATAATGAATTGGAGGTTATGGATACATCCGCATCCGATAATGATTTCGATCACAATTTGGATTTTCTCTTTCATCCAAATAGTCTCATCATGCTGGCAAATGTGTCTTTTCATGCCTGGCAACAAATGGAAGTAAGTATAATTAATAATTTTATTATAATTTAATAAATTAAATGTGAATGCAAAAAATTGAATATGAAACTATATTTTTATTTATAGGTCGACGGTAACGAAGAAGAAGAAGAAGATAATGGAGGGATGGGGTTTTTAAATGATGCCAATAATTTGGTAATGTTGGCAAATGTATC